TTGTATTTGTCACATGCGCTGAATACAACTGGTGTAAAACTTACTTACAAGACCATAACCAACAATGCAGAGTAAGAAAATATTTGTACAGGTGGTACTGGTACCAAGTCAATGTGTGGGGGTACAGGTTAGTCGAGGTAATTTAGGTCATTGAGGACATATGTACATGTAGGTAGGGATAATGTGACAGGGGGTACTGGTACCAAGTCAATGTGTGGGGGTACAGGTTAGTCGAGGTAATTGAGGTCATATGTACATGTAGGTAGGGATAAAGTGACTATGCATAGATAATAAACAGTCCAGGTAGCCATTTGATTAACTGTTCAGCAGTCTTATGACTTGGGGGTAGAAGCTGTTAAGGAGCCCGTTGGACCTAGACTTGGCACTCCATTACTGCTTGCCGTGCGGTAACAGAGAGAACAGTCAATGACTTCGCTGGCTGGAGTCTTTGACAATTTTAGGGCCATCCCTTTGACATCTCTTATCCTCCCGTTTGAATGCGGAACGAGGGAGAGCTTGGTTTGTTGTTTTGGAAAGTTGATTGTTTTTAAAGTCTATTGAAAAAGTTTGATTACTAGCTAGCTACCTTTAGAGTTTAGATCCCGCGACATGGTTGGCATCACTTGCTGGGACCGCTACTATCTGTCCAGTTATCCTGACGACCAAGGCTGAGTCTGAGGAGCTGTTTGGCGTAGCAAATAGCCTAGCTGCTAGCTAGCTACCTATCACGCTAGCAGAGTTTTCTTGAGGGCTTGAACGCAGCCCATGACGCGGTTAGTCATTGTGGCTGGGACCACGGATTGTCCCGGGCTTGTGGCTGTCTAGACCCTTGCTGTATGTGTGAAATGCTTCATAATGTATGTGATGGAAACAGAGAGGTCTACTTTCTTGGGGACCTGAATATTGAATGGTTTTCATCAAGCTGTCCGCTCAAGAGGAAGCTTCTCACGGTAACTTGTGCCTGTAATCTGGTTCAGGTTATTCATCAACCTACCAGGGTGTTTATAAACACTACAGGAACAAGGTCATCCACATGTATTGATCACATTTTTTATAATACTGTAGAACTTTGTTCTAAAGCTGTATCCGTAGCCATTGGATGCAGTGATCACAGTATAGTGGCTATATCTAGGAAAGCCAACGCTCCAAAAGTTGGGCCTAAAGTAGTGTATAAGAGATCGTTCAAACGATTTTGCTGTGACTCTTATGTGGATGATGTTAAAAATATGTGTTGGTCTGATGTTATTAATAAGGAGCATCCAGACGCTGCACTTGATTAATTTATGAAATTGCTTCTTCCAATTATTGATAAACATGCACCTGTTAAGAAAATGACTGTTAGAACTGTTAAGGCTCCATGGATTAATGAGACATTTTAAAACTGTATGGTTGAAAGAGATGGGGCAAAAGGAGTGGCTAATAAGTCTGGCTGCACATCTGACTGGCTGGCTTATTGCAAATTTATAAATTGTGACTAAACTCAACAAAAAGAAGAAGAAACTGTATTATGAAGCCAAGATCAATGATATAAAGAATGATGGAAAAAAACTTTGGAGTACTTTAAATGAAATTATGGGCAGAAAGACAAATACAACTCCATCTTTCATCGAATCACAAAACCATTTGATGTTGCCAATTATTTTAATGATTACTTCCTTGACAAAGTGAGCAAACTTAGGCAGGAAATGCCAACAACAAACAGTGAGCCATCGTACCCATGTATAAAAAACAAAACAATGAAAGGAAAGCGTTGCCAGTTTGAATTTTGTAAAGTTAGTGTGGGATAGGTGGGAAAATGATTGTTATTGATCAATAATGACAAATCTTCTGGCATTGACAACTTAGATGAAAAGCTGCTGAGGATGGTAGCTGACTCTATAGCCACTCCTCTCTGTCATATCTTTAATCTGAGCCTAGAGGAAACTCTTTGTCCTCAGGAATGGAGGGAAGCCAATGTCATTCTAATATCCAAGAGTGGTAAAGCAGCCTTTACTTGTTCTAACAGCAGACCTACTGTATCAGCTTGCTGACAGCTCTTAGCAAACTGTTGGAAAAAATTACGTTTGAATTGTGTTTGACCAAATACAATGCTACTTTTCTGTAAATATATTAACAAGACTTTCAGCTTGCTTATAGAGAAGGGCGCTCAACATGTACTGCACTGACACATAAGAAGATAATAAGAAGATTGTGGGAGCTGTTTGTTTGATTTCAGTGCAGCCTTTGTTGTTAAGAAAACGCATGTGTTATGTTTTTTCAACCTCTGCCATATTGTGGATTCAGAGCTTTCTATCTAATAGAACTCAGAGGGTTTTCTTTAATGGATGCTTCTCTAATGTCAAACATAAAGTGTGGTGTACCGCAGGGCAGCTTTCTAGGCCCTCTACTCTGTTCTATGTTTACCAATGAACTGCCACTGGCATTAAACAAAGCGTGTGTGTCCATGTATGCTGATGATTCAACCACATAAGCATCAGCAACCACAGCTAATGAAGTCACTGAAACCCTTAACAAAGAGTTGCAGTCTGTTTTGGAATGGGTGGCCAGTAATAAACTGGTCCTTAACATCTCTAAAACTAAGAGCATTATATTTGGTACAAATCATTGCCTAAGTTCTAGACCTCACCTGGTAATGAAGGCTTTTGAACAAGTTGAGGAGACTAAATTACTTGGTGTTACCTTAGATTGTAAACTGTCATGGTCAAAACATATAGACTCAATGGTTGTAAAGATGGGGAGAGGTCTGTCCATAGTAAAGAGATGCTCTTCTTTTTAGACACCACACTCCACAAAGCAAGTCCTGTAGGCTCTAGTTTTATCTTACCTTGATTATTGTCCAGTCATATGGTCAAGTGCTGCAAAAGAATACCTAGTTAAGTGATAATATTAAAACTATGCATGCCAGTCTCTCTTGGCTAAGAGCTGAGGAGAGACTGACTGCTTCACTTCTTGTTTTTGTAAGAAACTCCACATTGTTTGTATAGTCAACTTACACACAGCACTGACACACACACTTACCCCACCAGACATGCCACCAGGGGTCTTTTCACAAACACCAGGTCCAGAACAAATTCAAGGAAAGGTACAGTATTATACAGAGCCATGAGTGCATGGAACTCCCTTCCATCTTATGTAGCGCAAATTAACAGCAAACCTGGTTTAAAAAAAACATATAAAGCAACACTTCACGGCACAACACCTCTCCCCCATGTGACCTACTTGTTGTGTGTATGTACTGACATGTATGTGTAACTGATAGATGCACACACACACACTACATGTTAATGTTTTTAAATGTAACTTGTAAAGTGTTTTGCCTGTAATGTATTTTTTGTTATATGACGGACCCCAGTAAGACTAGCTGTCGCCATTGGCGTCGGCTAATGGGGATCCTAATAAATCAAGTCAAATCAAACCCCATGTTTTCAGTGGCTTGTGCTCTAGAGTATCCTTTGCCGTGGATAGACAATGTTTAGTTTACAGTATTGCTAAATCGGCTTGTATACAGTTATTATTTGTTCCCTTTTTTTGGTCACAGCGAGCACAATTGAAAGTTTGATGTTCAAGTTTGAAGTTTGAGATGCAAAATGCAAGGAATTTACTGTAGAATGTCGCGTTGGAGAAGATGCACTGATACTTTGGGTGTATTCTAGTTTTACTTGTGTGGTTCTGTTTATGGCAATATAAAATATGATTGAGTGTATTGAGTGTATTGTCCAACAGTAACAGTTTGAGTTTGTACTCAATTCTTTCATTTAATTGGATTGGCAGTTATGTTTTAGTGTCTATATTAGGGTATGTTTGCCTGGGTGTACTCATTTTACATTTACATTTTAGTCATTTAGCAGACACTCTTATCCAGAGCGACGTACAGTTAGTGAATGCATACATTATTTTATTTTTCATACTGGCCCCCCGTGGGACTCCAATTTTGCATGTGTTCTGTAAATGGCTCTACAGTCCTAAGAAAATGTGTTTGCTCCCAGATAGAAAAATACATTAACATGCATACATGTACTCCGAAAAACATTAATTTATCCTCAGGGCACTTCTTGTACTTCTATTCCACCCCTGATGCATGCGTTTCATGCTCCCGCTACCTCTGTGCATAATAATATTTATCTTTCTTACTAGTAAAACAAAACAGGACAAGACGACAACCTTGCATGTCTTTACATTCACAATTCTTCTCTCTCCTGTTCTACCCAGGGTGTAAACACGACGCCTCCCCATTACCATTATTTTTCACACATCTCGGTATCCATTATTCACTCATTTTGAGTCGACTGCACCTCGCAGAACATCATATATTGATTAGGCTGTTCAGTAGGCCTTAGGCTTACTGCGAGTGGAGGCTGGTGAGCGCGGAATGAAACATTCACTCTGCCTGTGCTGTTTGTTGCTGGCATGCATAGGGTTTAATTTTTTACGGGTTATGGATGTACTTTTCTTTGTTTCATTCTCTCTGTAACCAAGAGGAGAGACAGGAGGATAAATTAGGGCAAGGCGAGAAACGGGAGAGTGTGTGTAGGTTTAATTGAGGGGTTTTAGTGCTAACTACAGTTGGAGCCTGCTTGTGACAGGAGAGGGGAGGCCCCTACTACAAACTACTCCCAAGTCTGTCAGATACAGCAGTGTTTACTGTCTTTTTGGCTCGGTGCCAGAAGCATTTCTTGTGATACTATTTCAGACATTGGACCTGAGTGTGAATGGGTGGATGTTAAGGAGTTTGAATCAAATTAATCCTAATATTATCATTGCCCATCCCATGAGAACGTCCTATATCTACATTATATGGTGCCCCGTGTAAGGATTTACTTGCAACTTTCAAATACTGTGACTATCCAGGAACCAATCAATAAATCGATCAACCACTCAATCTGTGATAAATTGATTGATTGGCTATCCAAGAAGTGTCTGTAAATGTGTGTACATTATTTATTTCAGTGTATAACTTTCTTGGGGTTTTTCCTTTGTGTCAGGTGGAGGCGGAGGTTGGAATGACAGTAACCCTGGGTCTCAGGGCGGGAAACCCATCATACTCGGAGGCCAGGGGGGGCAGCCCTGCCATAAGTTCAGCTGGGAGACCCGAGGGGGTTTCGGGGGAGGGGGAGGCGCCTGTACAACCGGTGGTGGAGGAGGAGGCTATAGAGGTAGGTGAAAACATATTTACCGTAAATATACAGTATATAGCACTGTAACATTAATATATAACTATCAATATGACATTACATCTCCAGTCTTGTCTTAACATGTTAAGGTAGGTTGTCCCTTTGCCATTTGTTGGTCCAACAAATTATCATTATATGTCTTTAGACATTATCATTAGATATTTGATCAGGTAGCACTTTAGATTAAATTAAACCTTTATACCATTAAGGTACTCTGTAGTAAGTTCACTGACTAATTGTGTTTTTTATTACCACCACCACAACCATCCCCCTCCCTTTCTCTAGGTGGCAACACCTCTGAAGCTAATGACCCAAAGCAGGATGGAGAAGACGGCTCCTCTTTCATCAGCCCAGAGGGAGAGACCTTCCTGGACCCTTTGAAAGGTAACGGATGATGAAATGAGAGACAATCACACTAACACTTTCTATGAACTATAGGGCGGCAACCGGCAAGGTAAAGGTTAGTGAGGTGGACCAGTAGCCGGAGGTTGCTGGTTCAAGCTCCAGGCAGGGCGATAAAAGTTGGAACTGAATTGTGACGCAGCATGTATCCTGTTGACCTTGTCCGGTGTCTGTGCCTGTAGGTATGGAAAGTGATGGAGAGGTGATCATCGGCCCCGTGCTGAACTGTAGCCACTGTGAGACGGGTGACTGTCACAAGAACGAGGAGGGGACCGTATGTTACTGTGACGAGGACCTTGTACTGGACCGCGACGGAGTGTCTTGTTTCAACTCATCAACAGGTCAGAAACACACACTCTCTCACTCATGCACGCACACACACACACACAAACTCCAATTCAACACGTTGTTTGGATCCACAATTGTGGACAGTAAGTACAAAGGACACATATTTGAAAGGTCATACAAATAGCTAGTTGACACACACACAAATGCGCACGCAAACATACGTCGTGTTTGATATGGGTAAGTTTAGGCTCTCAGAACATTCACACCTGGCCCAATGGGCAATCAGCAAGCAATTGTCTGGACTTGAACAGAAAAGTGAACATTCACACAGTTGTAATGTTTTTTATTAAACCAATATATAGCGATATCGTATCGATAAAATGCAACAGCATTTTCCATATGTGCCCATCACTAATATTCAGTTAATGTGGTGCTCTTCCAATAAGATGTATTTGACCCAGATCTGAACTCTTCTCTCCCCTGACAGAGGTGTCTCCCCTGCCCCCCCAGCCCTCCCTGTCCCAGTTGGCCCTGGTTCTGTCTGTGGGGACCTCTGCCCTCATTGCTGCCCTACTGTTGGCTGTGTCTGGAGTCATGATCAGTAAGTGCTGAAATGCGTAGGATACAAACGCAGACTTATGTGGACACACATACATGCACACTTTTAACATAAGGCATATTGCAAACGTAGGTTTTTTGGGTTATCCATACATACATATTGTACTGTGCGCACACAACACACACCATTGCATCTGAACACATGTTATGTGCGCACAAGCACATGTATGTGCATACACACACACAGGAATATTGATGCACACACACAAACACATAATTGCATTTTCATTCTTTACAAACACCCACATGTCCACACTGTCACTCACAAAGGCTGTAGATTCCCTGTACACTTCTACACAGAATCCGAAAGCACTTACTTACTGGAATAAATACCCTTGGGGGGGGGGCATCATTGAGCCATCAAGCCACACATCACATCAGCAGCTGCATGATGAATTGGTGGGGGAAGAAGATGTGTGGCGGAGTTGCAATGATGAATGACACACACATGCGAGCGTGCGCACACACACACACACTGATGAATGAAACACGCTAATGATGGACAAACAATTAAGCGCTCGTGCATTACCACTTTATAAATAAATAAATCCACATAGGTTCCACAACTAATGTGTTTACAGCCCTGGTCAGAGCCGTCTGTTTGTCTGCTGCAGCGCTGTAAGGTGTGTGTGTGTGTGTGTGTGTATGTGTGTAAAGGGGGGGGGTTGGGGGAGGTTGTGTGTCGCGTACTGTATGTGGCTGTCCTACTGGTTGACTTTTGCATAAGTAATGTGGTCTGTTTGTGTACATATGTGCATTTTGAATAGTTTATATGTATTCTGCATATACATATGTTCTTGACATACCATGATAATTTTAAACAGAGTATGCCTTCTGAAGTTGTAATGAACCCTTTATAAGGCTTACGTAGATACTTCAGCATTCTTTCATAAGCACATTTCATACTATATACATTAAAGGGTGGTATAAGGGTTATGCCCCATTTGGCAAAGCACCAGACAAAAGCACCTGTTATATCACCCGTCATATGTGTGGCGTTTGCTTATGAAGCGTCTGTTGACGATGTGCCGACATGGGTCCTTTTTCTACGTCCCTTCACATATCTGTCCATATTTCCTCATAGTATATGCATATTCTTGCCTATGCAGTGTACAGACGTAAGCATACAGAGCTACAGTCCATTCAGCTGGAGCTCCAGAGCCCAGACTGTAAGCTGAGCAAGCTGAGGGCTTCAACCATCATGACCGACTATAACCCCAACTACTGCTTCGCTGGGAAGACCGCCTCTGTCAACGACCTGAAGGAGGTGCCCCGACGCAACATCTCCCTCACCAGGTACACTAGCCTTTAAAAATAGTCATAAACAACAACAACAACTAGAATACGTTAGCTTCAGCTGTCTAAAAACTTGCCTCACCCACTACCACCTGGGTGATGCCACGGCAGTCATTTTGAGCTAGAAATCTCACCACACATCAGGGTGGTGTTCACTAGGGGGCCGATTCAGACGTAAGAAATTAACACATTTCCTACGCACACCTTTCCTTTGCACTTCTCAGCAGTTGGTATTCAGACTTACCTATGCAGGTGCGTAATGCGCTCTACAGGTGAGGCTACCTTGCGGGCACTGAATAAATGTAATCCAACCACTGTAAATCCTCCCACTTGCTGGCCAACACATTTTCTCGTGGAGTTTTCATTCAATAGGGTTTTCAGTTCATTTTTCTTAAACCATCCCTTTAAATATGGTGTACCTTTAATTAGAATTTTGTCGACAGACTCACTAGAATACATCAAGAGAACAGGTTCAGAATGTAGGGATCAATGAAAGAAAGCCACCTATTCGTTTCCATTTCAGCACCGATTGGTAGACCTAAAAATACACTGATCTTGTAGATTATTTAGTCAAATTCTTGGCTTAGGATAGTATGTATCAATATTTTAAAAAAGAGGTTTGGAGAGCCTTTAAGCACTAAATATATTGATGAATCCAAAATACAGTGGTTTGATTCATCCTGAAAGTTTCCATATTCAAGCTCAATCCATGAAATATTGGAAGGTGGAAGAAAGTGTACAATAAGGGTTGTACAATAGTCCTATAAACCTACCCTAACCCTCACTAATCATGGAACTGTAATGACAACAGTCAAGTCGTCGTGAACCGTGCGCCAGGCTCCAGGTTGAAACTGCTACGTGTGGTCTGAATTCCATAATGATTCAAATAGGCTACATGTCCCAAATTATTGCACAATGTTAGCCTAATATGATCCACTATTGGTAGCAACTCTCAGGAACAACTACACGGGACGTGACAGAGGAAAGAAAGGTAAACGGAATGGAATGATGCAAAATGTAGACTACAATTTGAAGGAAACTAACACTAAGGTGACAGTTTCAAATGTATGTGGGTATTACTGACGGTGGCTGCCGATAGTGGCTAATATTGAACTTGATACAAATTGTAAAATAGCCTAAAACTGAGAAAAGCCCTTGCATGTAATTAAAACATTCTAAAGCGCATTAAATCAACCATGCAGGTTAGGCGCTACAGAAGCCTATAGCTTGGGTCTCCAAATTGTATCCCTGCAAATTATGAGGGCAAACAATAAACATTCTGAATAACGGCACAGCTATTTAAAGCCTACTTCGCTGTGGAAAAGGGGCTGCAATACATGTCATGTTGATATGATTTTGCCTTTATATTGTTTCACATTCGTGTCCAGGGATCATAAGGAACAATCATCTAAAACAATTGCTTTGTGTTTTTACAATCCCCTTCTCCAAACGTATTACTTATTTACCTAGCTTTTATCAATAGATCTTAGCAATTTATAAATTACAGTGCATGGAGAATGCTTTTATTTCTATCAGAAAAAAATTAAGTAAATGCTTTTTCCACTTGGAACTGGTAGGTTCACTCGACCTAATTCATGGTTTTCTCACGTGTAAAGGTAGAAGAATTATGAGGGAATTAAGTCACGGTCAAAATACAGCATATCTGTAGACACACCTCCGTCACACCTTCATGTCTTTGGTATCCACCCCAAACGAATAGTGGGTGAAGAGCAGGATATTCTCATGCTTAAGTTCAAGGTCAGGATACGCGTAGAGAGACAACTGCATAAAAGGGAATTACGTTCAATTTACGCGCACTTACCTCTTGTTGGAATTCCCCGCAGGCACATAGTGCCTAGTGAAAGTATACACACCCCTTGCACTATTGTCACATTTTGCTGCCTGAAACTTCTATCTAAAAAATGATTAAATTCGATTTTTTCCTACAAATCTACACAATCTGCTACACATTTTCAGAGTGAAAGAAAAAGTATAACATGTTTTTTAAATTAATAACAAACTTAAAACGAAGATGTCTTGATTGTGAATGTATTCACACCTCAGAGTTAATACTTGGTGGAAGCCCCTTTGGCAGCAATTACAACTGTACATCATTTTGAATAAGATTCTACCAACCCTGCACAACTCTTAGGGCAACGTACAGTGCATTTGGCAATTTCGCCCAAAAATGACGTTACAGCCTTATTCTAAAATTGATTAAATAAATGTTTGTCCTCATCAATCTACCCCATAATGACAAAGCAAAAATAGAAAACACAAATACCTTATTTACATAGGTATTCAGACCCTTTGGAACCACCAAGACTCTTCCTAGAGCTGGCCGCCCGGCCAAACTGAGCAATCGGGGGAGAAGGGCCTTGGTCAGGGAGGTGACCAAGAACCCAATGGTCACTCTGACAGAGCTCCAGAGTTCCTCTGTGGAGATGGGAGAACCTTCCAGAAGGACAACCATCTCTGCTGCAGCACTCCACCAATCAGGCCTTTATGGTAGAGTGGCCAGACGGAAGCCACTCCTCAGTAAAAGGCACATGACAGCCCGCTTGGAGTTTGCCAAAAGGCACCTGAAGGACTCTCAGACCATGAGAAATAAGATGCTCTGGTCTGATGAAACCAAGATTGAACTCTTTGGCCTGAATGCCAAGCGTCACGTCTGGAGGAAACCAGGCACCGCTCATCACCTGGCCAATACCATTCCTATGGTGAAGCATGGAGGTAGCAGCATCATGCTGTGGGGATGTTTTTCAGCGGCAGGGACTGGGAGACTAGTCAGGATCAAGGGAAAGATGAACGGAGCAAAGTACAGAGAGAACCTTGAAAACCTGCTCCAGAGTGCTCAGGACCTCAGACTGGGGTGAAGGTTCACCTTTCAACAGGACAACGACCCTAAGCACACAGCCAAGACAACGCAGGAGTGGCTTCAGGACAAGTCTCTGAATGTCCTTGAGTGGCCCAGCCAGAGCCCGGACTTGAACCCGATCTAACATCTCTGAAGAGACCTGAAAATAGCTGTGCAGCGACACTCCCCATCCAACCTGACAGAGCTTGAGAGGATCTACAGGTGTGCCAAGCTTGTAGCGTCATACCCCAGAAGATTCGAGGCTGTAATCACTGCCAAAGGTGCTTCAACAAAGTACTGAGGAAACGGTCTGAATTCTTATGTAAATGTTATATTTCCATTTGTACTTTTTTATTTGCAAATGTTTCTAAAAACCTGTTTTTGCATTGTCATTATGGGTTATTGTGTGTAGATTGATGAGGGAAAAAAACAAATGTAATCCATTTTAGAATAAGGCTGTAATGTAACAAAAAAGTGAAGGGGTCTGAATACTTTCTGAAAATTGCTCAAGCGCAGTAAATTTGGTTGGGAATCATTGATGGACAGCAATCTCCGAATTTCAAGCAGATTTAAAGTTAGGTTTGAGACTGGATCCCTCTGGAACACTTAACACACCTATTGGAAAGCCATTCTGGTGAGTTTTTGGCATTACATTCGTGTAATTGTCCCACTGAAAAATAAAGAGGCAGGTTTTCCTCTAACTATTTACCTGGGCTTTTCTCCTTTCATATTTATTTTGATACTGAGAAACTCATCAGTCCCTGCCGGTGACCTGCATACCCATAACATAATTATTATTATTATTATTATTATAATGCTGCCATCACAATACTTGAAAATACAGAGGGTTTCACATCTTGAAACTGCAGGAATTGAACCTACAACCTTTGCATTCCTAACACCATGCTCTTACTGACTGAGCCGCACAGGACCAGCAATCCTATCTTCAGCCACCATTTAGTGGAATATTAATTGTTCCTCCTGCTTTGCAAAGTAGAGCAATTCAGTTAAATAGACTTCCATGCTAAAATCTGAAGTGTTTTCCTAACATTTGAAAACGGTTCAACCATAGATAGAACAATGAGCCAGATGTTACATCACTGATGAAGGTTACATCACTTATGTATAAATCTGAAGCATCTGGTTGGCATTTCCGCTCATCACCAATTATGGTGATGAGAGGAAGCCCAGTGGCTGGCAGTGGGAGAAGATTGAGCGTGATGGATTTTGGCTAACATTCCGCTAATTTTTTCATCAACGAAACATTTGATCTCAATACAGTTTTCTGATCCCAAAACTAGAATATGTTACGAACAGAGTGGGCTAAGTATTGTAGACTTTATACTTTGCCAAAATTTTAAAAAACTGCGTTGTTTAGAGGGAGTGTAACGACGAATTGAGTTATTGCACACGCGCACTTCACAGAGTAGGTCGTTCCCAAACTGAAATATGCAAATACATGCTAGAACACACCAATAGGGTCTCACTAGCTCGTGATTGGCTCTGCACACCTCCTTGCTTGTTCTCCCACTATGATTCATTTGATTCCATTGGAAACAACAGGCTGTGGTCTATCTTAGGTTAGTTACAAAAATCTTTGGTTCAACCTTATTTGCATATTATACGTACAGTAGTTTTATACGGTAAAGTTTCCTGTACTAACCTGCAGCGATGCCCTCACAAAGCACCAACATTTCAGTTGACCCAGTGACACCTGAATGCCATTGTCACGCCCTGGCTCTGGGGACTCTAGTATGTTGAGCCAGGGTGTGAGTTTTCATGTGTGTTGGTTCTAGTTGTTGTATATCTATGTTGGCCAGGGTGGCTCCCAATCAGAGACGGCTGTAGCTCGTTGTCTCTGATTGGGAGTCATACTTAGGTAGCCGTTAGGCATTCATTCATTGTGGTTTCTTGTTCGTGTTGGTTTGTGTTTGACCATTGACTGTCACGTTATTGTTTTGTTGTTTTTGATCGTGTATCATAAATAAAGAGTATGTTCGTCTGCAACGCTGCGCCTTGGTCCTCCTCTCTTAACGACGATCGTGACAGAAGAAACCACCAAGACTGGACCAAGCAGCGTGTCCAGGAGCCATCGCCAGGGAGATCTCTAGCAGATCTCCTTCGCCTCCTCGACTGGGTCAAGCCGGGTGAGGAAGAGAAGGGCTTGACATGGAAGCAGAAGGGCGAAAGGCTGGCGAGGGACATGGAGACCTGGTCCACGGGTAGGAGAGACGCCCAGAAATTTTTTAGGGGGGGGCTAACGCCGTGGACGACGGGCCAGCAGGAGACCGCGGCAGAGCGGCCCAGCGGGTTGGCAGAGGAGGCCGCCAGGTTACGGGGGCCACTGGTCGAAGAGGGGATGGAAGGTGTAGAGGCACGGCGAGAGGTACTGGGGTGTGTTACCAGTCCGGTCCGGCCCATTCCAGATCCCTGCGTAGGAACAGTGGTGTGTGTCCCCAGTACGGTCCGGCCTGTTCCTGCTCCCCGCACCAGGCCAATGGTGCGCTTCGTCAGCCCGGCTCGGCCCGTTCCTGCTCCCCGCACCAAGTCAGTGGTGCGCTTCGTCAGCCCGGCTCGGCCCGTTCCTGCTCCCCGCACCAAGTCAGGGGTGCGTTTCGTCAGCCCGGCTCGGGCCGTTCCTGCTCCCCACACCAAGCCAGTGGTGTGCGTCGTCAGTCCGGCACAGCCCGTGCCTGTTCCACTGGTGCCTGGTTCAGCACGGGTCAGCTGCTTCACGCCGGAGCTAGAGCAATCCGCTCCACCAGTGTGCAGTCCAGCTCCGGTCAGCAGGGCCAGACCGGACCAGGGGTACCTTGGGGGGTTAGAGAGCGAGTGGGGATCATGCCCGGAGCCGGATCCGCCGCCAAGGCGGAGTGCCCACCCGGTCCCTCCCCTGTGGTATTTGGTTGGCGCGGTCGGAGTCCGCGCCTTTAGGGGGGGGGTACTGTCACGCCCTGGCTCTGGGGACTCTAGTATGTTGAGCCAGGGTGTGAGTTTTCATGTGTGTTGGTTCTAGTTGTTGTATATCTATGTTGGCCAGGGTGGCTCCCAATCAGAGACGGCTGTAGCTCGTTGTCTCTGATTGGGAGTCATACTTAGGTAGCCGTTAGGCATTCATTCATTGTGGTTTCTTGTTCGTGTTGGTTTGTGTTTGACCATTGACTGTCACGTTATCGTTTTGTTGTTTTTGATCGTGTATCATAAATAAAGAGTATGTTCGTCTGCAACGCTGCGCCTTGGTCCTCCTCTCTTAACGACGATCGTGACAGCCATGGCATTTATTGGTCGGGGAGTCAGTACTTAAGATGTCAGAGAAGGTTACATCACTGTGAAAGGCTAAGCTAGCCACCTGCTACACATACTGTCCGTAGGCCAACTTTCCTTTCACCCAGTAATCAATGACATCAACTGTGAACGCTTACTGCTGTAGTGCTGTAGTATGTAGTATTGTGTACTGTGGGTGCATTATGAAGACATTATGGAGGGATGCTTTCGCTTTACTTTTGGTCTATAAGACTTAATCTTACAAATATGCATCTCGAAGTTTGTGTGCCCTTTTGTTTGTGTGTGTGTGTGCGCGTGCTTGCATGTGTGTGTGTATGTGTATAGGGGTCTGGGACATGGTGCCTTCGGTGAGGTGTATGAAGGGATAGCAGCGGGGATACCTGGAGAGCCCAGTCCCATGCAAGTAGCAGTCAAGGTGAGCCCTGACACAAACAAAAAACAAGACATACAGTTGAAGTCGGAAGTTTACATACACCTTAGCCAAATACATTTCAACTCAGTTTTTCACAATTCCTGACATTTAATCCTAGTATAAATTCCCTGTCTTAGGTCAGTTAGGATCACCACTTTATTTTAAGAATGTGAAATGTCAGAATAATAGTAGAGAGAATGATTTATTTCAGCTTTTATTTCTTTAATCACATTCCCAGTGGGTCAGAAGTTTACATACCCTCAATTAGTATTTGGTAGCAATGCGTTTAAGTTGTTTAACTTGGGTCAAACGTTTCGGGTAGCCTTCTACAAGCTTCCCACAATGAGTTGGGTGAATTTTGGCCCATTCCTCCTGACAGAGCTGGTGTAACTGAGTCAGGTTTGTAGGCCTCCTTGCTCGCACACACTTTTTCAGTTCTGCCCACACATTTTCTATAGGATTGAGGTCAGGGCTTTGTGATGGCCACTCCAATACCTTGACTTTGTTGTCCTTAAGCCATTTTGCCACAACTTTGGAAGTCTGCTTTGGGTCATTGTCCATTTGTAAGACCCATTTGCGACCAAGCTTTAACTTCCTGACTGATGTCTTGAGATGTTGCTTCAATATATCCACATAATAATCCTTCCTCATGATGCCATCTATTTTGTGAAGTGCACCAGTCCTGCAGCAAAGCACCCCCACAGCATGATGCTGCCACCCCCGTGCATCACGGTTGGGATGGTGTTCTTCGGCTTGCAAGCAACCCCCTTTTTCCTCCAAACATAACGATGGTCATTATGGCCAAACAGTTCTATTTTTGTTTCATCAGACCAGAGGACATTTCTCCAAAAAGTATGATCGTCTGGCTTTTTTATGGCAGTTTTAAAGCAGTGGCTTCTTCCTTACTGAGCGGCCTTTCAGGCTATGTCGATATAGGACTCGTTTTACTGTGGATATAGATCCTTTTGTACCTGTTTCCTCCAGCATCTTCAGAAGGTCCTTTGCTGTTGTTCTGGGATTGATTTGCACTTTTCACACCAAATACGTTCATTTCTAGGAGACAGAATGCGTCTCCTTCCTGAGCGGTATGACAGCTGCGTGGTCCCATGGTGTTAATACTTGCTTACTATTGTTTGTACAGATGAACGTGGTACCTTCAGGCGTTTGGAAATTGCTCCCAAGGATAAACCAGACTTGTGGAGGTCTACCATTTTTTTTCTGAGGTCTTGGCTGATTTAATTTGATTTTCCTATGATTTCAAGCAAAGAGGCACTGAGTTTGAAGGTAGGCCTTGAAATACATCCACAGGTAAACCTCCAATTGACTCCAATTATATCAATTAGCGTATCAGAAGCTTCTAAATTCATGACATCATTTTCTGGAATTTTCCAAGCTGTTTAAAGGCACAGTCAACTTAGTGTATGTAAACCTCTGACCCACTGGAATTGTGATACAGTGAATTATAAGTGAAATAATCTGTTTGTAAACAATTGTTTGAAAAATTACTTGTGTCATGCACAAAGTAGATGTCCTAACCGACTTGCCAAAACTATAGTTTGTTAACAAGAAATTTGTGGAGTGGTTGAAAAACAAGTTTTAATGACTCCAACCTAGGTGTATGTAAACTTCCGACTTCAACTGTAAGTAAACAAACAAACAAAAATACATACAGAATATACTGGGCCTCATACTTCAGTAATATTAGCAAGACTGTGTGTGTATTTTGAACGTATGACCATTTTATTCACAAACATTTCAGTGTTTGAGCTTATGTTGATTTTTTTATTTAACCTTTATTTAGGCAGGGGAGTCCTATTGAGACCAAGGTCTCTTTTTCGATGGAGCCCTGCAATGAGCCCCACTGTGCAGATGGATCCTTAGTACTGCACATCTGTCTACACAGATTGATCTTTAGTACTTCACATCTGTCTACACAAGTTCTCTCTGAATATCCTCATTGTGTGTTCTGTGTGCGTCCCCTATAGACACTCCCTGAGGTGTGCTCTGAGCAGGATGAGCTTGACTTTCTCATGGAGGCTCTCATTATCAGGTAACACAAACCACGTTTCCATCCACAGTTTTCATGCAAGTAAAGTCATACCGTATGAAAATATATCACGACAGGTGCGATGGAAACACAAAGTGTCGGTACAATTTCACAAATGTCGACAGAGAGTTTGTTCGTTCGACATGGTGGGATCTTTTTGCGTCGATAAAAATAATGACGCGACAATTGCGGTATAAACTATTTTATGCGCAATTATTGGTATAATAAACCATCATATCGAAGTAACTATGGAGCCAAGCGATGATATGCTCCGTTACCACTACAACGTGGAAAAGCATTAGAGTTTATAGCAAGACAAAATAGTTTTGATGAACTTTCCTGGTGGTAAATGATGGACGGTGATGAGCTTCATGTAAATATCATTTCCAATAAATATCTAGGGTTTTATTTGAATGCTGATGACATGATGATAAACATTTGGCTGCCAATTATCAAATAGAAATGATAATGCTCTCATCCATTTCATCTTATTATCTACCCCCACTTTGTCAGCTAACTGTTGTCTAGAGAGCATGCGCCAAAACCAGATAGGGTGCGTATGCTATAAAACGCAACAGTTTTTGTGACAAAACCGTCGGTAGAGTTGAAAATGTGATGGAAATCGATCTAACTTATATTTGTTATTTTATTATTTATTGGAATTTAACCGCAAAAGTTATTTTTATGTGTACTATCTCATCACACACAACCTTTTATCCGCAACAAATCAAGATGATGGAAACATTTGCATATTGTTTTTATGCAGATTTTTGAATATTAACATGAAAATCTGTCGCCAATTGAATGGAAACCTAGCTACAGTCATACAAACCTAAGCACACATGCACGCATGCACACACACAGACTCACACACACAGCTTTTGGTTGAAGACATATTGCAAACATGTTCCTACCATAGCAGACCATTCTTCACCAACCATGTACTATCCTCCCGAGTGGCGCAGTGGTCTAAGGCATTGCATCGCAGTGCTAGCTGTGCCACTAGAGATCCTGGTTCGAATCCAGGCTCTGTTGTAGCCGGCTGCGACCAGGAGACCCATGGGGCGGCGCACAATTGGCCCAGCGTCGGCCAGGGTAGGGAATGGCCGGCAGGGATGTAGCTCAGTTGGTAGAGCATGGCGTTTGCAACGCCATGGTTGTGGGTTCGATTCCTACGGGGGGCCAGTATGAAAATAAATAATGTATGCACACACTAACTGTAAGTTGCTCTGGATAAGAGCATCTGCTAAATGACTAAGATGTAATGTACTGTAATCTCTCTTCACTATCCAACACTCTCCTTTCTCCTCCCCCTATCTCCTCATCCCCCACTCTCCCCCTGCAGTAAATTCAGCCACCAGAACATAGTGCGGTGTATAGGGGTGAGTCTACAGGCCCTGCCACGCTTCATCCTATTGGAATTGATGGCTGGAGGAGACCTCAAGAGTTTCCTGAGAGAGACGCGGCCCAGACTGGTCAGTTGAGTTGCCAGCTTGTCTCGTATATTTCAAATATTAGTTAGTTCAGAGCTTAAGTGTCTTGATCTAAGGCACAACAGCCGGAGATGGTACCTTGGACTAGAGATTTCTGAAATCTTGAAAAGTGAGTTTGACCACATTTGCCAAATTGTTAAAAGGTTTGAAATACAACTGTAATAAATGCAACAGTTGGACAATGGATGAAACAAACAAAAAAATAATACCCATCAAGCATATAAATGTTCAGGGATTTTTGTGGAATTATTCAATTCTTTTTGTTTCTTAGAATGCACTCATATATACATTTTCTAATGGTATCAGGTATTCTTTTAATATTTTGTGTTCAAATAAAGAAAATTATGTGTGCCTAATTTGCATAAATACATGAGATATTTTAGCATATACACTACATGACCAAAAGTATGTGGACACCTGCTCCCCTTTGCTGCTATAACAGCCTACTAGATGTTGGAACATTGCTGCGGGGACTTGCTTCCATTCAGCCACAAGAGTATTAGTGTGGTCGGGCACTGATGTTGGGCGATTAGGCCTGGCTCGCAGTCGGCGTTCCAATTCATCCCAAAGGTGTTTCAATGGGGTTGAGGTCAGGGCTCTGTGCAGGCCAGTCAAGTTCTTCCACACCGATCTCGACAAACCATTTCTGTATGGACCTCTCTTTGTGCACTGTTATGCTAAAACAGGAAACGGCTTTCCCCAAACTGTTGCAATAATGTTGGAAGAACAGAATTGTCTAGAATATCATTCTATGCTGTAGCAGTAAGATTTCCCTTCATTGGAACTAAGGGTCCTAGCCCGACCATGAAAAATAGCCCCAGACCATTATGCCTCCTCCACCAAACGTTACAGTTGGCACTATGCATTGAGGCAGGTAGTAACTTTCTCCTGGCATCCGTCAAACCCAGATTCATCTGTCGTACTGCCAGACCGTGAAGTGTGATTCATCACTCCGGAGAACACGTTGCCACTGCTCCAGAGTCCAATGGCGGCGAGCTTTTCACCACTCCAGCCGATGCTTGGCATTGCGTATGGGGATTTTAGGCTTGTGTGTGGCTGCTCGGCCATGGAAACCCATTTCATGAAGCTCCCGACAAACAGTTCTTGTGATGACGTTGCTTCCAGAGGCAGTTTTGAAATTGGTAGTGAGTGTTGCAACAAAGGACAGATGATTTCTAGCACTCGGCGGTCCCGTTCTGTGAGCTTGTGTGGCCTACCACTTCGCGGCTGAGCCGTTGTTGCTCCTAGACGTTTCCACTTCACAATAACAGCACTTACAGTTGACCGCGGCAGCTCTAGCAGAGCAGTAATTTGACGAACTGACTTGTTGGAAAGGTGGCATCCTATGACGGTGCTACATTGAAAGTCACTGAGCTCTTCAGTAAGGCTATTCTACTGCTAATGTTTGTCTATGGAGAGTGCATGGCTTTGTGCTCAATTTTATACACCTGTCAGCAACGGGTGTGGCTGAAATAGCCAAATCCACTAATTTAAAGGGGCGTCAACATACTTTGTATAAATAGTGTATGAATAAATTAACATAAAGGGGTGGAACAGGGCTGCAACCACCAAAAACTTGCTCCGTCTAGGCCTACCTGCAATCACCTATGCAGTCTAGACTGCCTCATTAATTACTGTTGTTTCATGTTCTGTTGCATAATTCAACAAGTGTGTAATTAGCAGGATACCGTCGGATTAAAAATCAACACGCTTGGCTCTAGATTTCACCGATCTATACATACTTTACATTATTTGCGAGATCAGACATACAGTGCCTTGCAAAAGTACTCATCGCCCTTGGTGTTTTTTCTATTTCGTTGCATTACAACCTGTAATTTAAATTGATTTTTATTTGGATTTCATATAATGGACATACACAAAAGAGTCCAAATTGGTGATGTGAAATGAAAAAAATAACTTGTTTCAAAGATTTTGAAAAAATAAATAAAGTTAAAGTGGTGCGTGCATATTTATTCACCCCTTTTGCTATGAAGCCCCTAAATAAGATCTGGTGCAACCAATTACCTTCAGAAGTCACATAATTAGTTAAATGAAGTCCACCTGTGTGCAATCTAAGTGTCACATGATCTGTCACATGATCTCAGTATATATACACCTGTTCTGAAATGCCCCAGTCTGCAACACCACTAAGCAAGGAGCTCTCCAAACAGGTCAGGGACAAAGTTGTGGAGAAGTACAGATCAGGGTTGGGTTATAAAAAAATATCAGAAACTTTGAACATCCCACGGAGCACCATTAAATCCATTATTAAAAAATTGAAAGAATATGGCACCACAACAAACCTGCCAAGAGAGGGCCGCCTACCAAAACTCACGGACCAGGAAAGGAGGGCATTAATCAGAGAGGCAACAAAGAGACCAAAGATAACCCTCGAAGGAGCTGCAATGCTCCACAGCGGAGATTGGAGTATCTGTCCATAGGACCACTTTAAGCCGTACACTCCACAGAGCTGGGCTTTACAGAAGAGTGGGCAGAAAAAAGCCATTGCGTAAAGAAAAAAATAAGCAAACACGTTTGGTGTTCGCCAAAAGGCATGTGGGAGACTCCCCAAACATATGGAAGAAGGTACTCTGGTCAGATGAGACTAAATTTGAGCCTTTGGCCATCAAGGAAAACGCTATGTCTGGCGCAAACCCAACACCTCTCATCACCCCGAGAACACCATCCCCAAAGTGAAGCATGGGGGTGGCAGCCATGCTGTGGGGATGTTTTTCATCGGCAGGGACTGGGAAACTGGTCAGAATTGATGGAATGATGGATGACGCTAAATACTGGGAAATTCTTGAGGGAAACCTGTTTCAGTCTTACAGAGATTTGAGACTGGGACGTAGGTTCACCTTCCAGCAGGACAATGAACCTAAGCATACTGCTAAAGCAACACTCGAGTGGGGAAACATTTAAATGTCTTGGAAAGGTCTAGTCAAAGCCCAGACCTCAATCCAATAGTTATGCATAGTGCACGCTCAAGTTTTTGTCTTATTTCTTGTTTGTTTCACAAAAAAAATGATTTTGCATCTTCTGTAGCTCAGCTGGTTGAGCACGGCGCTTGTAACGCCAGGGTAGTGGGTTCGATCCCCGGGACCACCCATACACAAAAATGTATGCACGCATGACTGTAAGTCGCTTTGGATAAAAGCGTCTGCTAAATGGCATATTATTATTATTATAAAGTGGTAGGCATGGTGTGCAAATCAAATGACACAAACCCCCCAAAAATCCATTTTAATTCCAGGTTGTAAGGCAACAAAATAGGAAAAATACCAAGGGGGGTGAATACTTTCGCAAGCCACTGTAATATCACTATAATCCAAGTGTTGATTTTCGGAAGTTGCTTTCGTTTTAGCGCATCTCATTAGTAAACATTTCAATTTCTATTAAAATATAACTATTTTCAATTCCACAAAAAAATTAACACCCATCAAAATAAATATCTTTCTTCTCTTTCTTGTGATGTAAGTGTCGAGACGATGCGCTAACTCCCAGATGAAGCTTTAGCGTTCTTATAGATGCAACAGAAACACACTATTCCATTAAGCCTATTTCAGCCATTACCGGGGTGTGTTTGATAGAAAGGTCATTACAAACATTAACATAACGTTAACGAGAAAAAACTACAAGGAAGAGTATGAAAGAGTCACAGGAGTAAAATGAAAACAATCAATCCAGCAAGATTTAAGTGACTAGTGAATTTTGCACCCCTCAAACACAGGAAATAGATTGCTGAAAATGACAGATTCTCAGGTGCATGTTGCTAGTTCTTTGTTAGTCTTGGTTGTGGAGCTTTGCTTACATTGATTAAGATACAGGTACTTTACAGAGTAGACTAAAATATTTCAGTCTGAAGCTAACAGAGGAACAACAAAGGATGCAACAGCTGTTTGGCTGCTGTGCTCTGCAGTAAATCTGTCTCCATTTTGTTTGGGAATCTGTCTGCCAGTTGGTCCACCTATCTGCATGTCTGTCATGTCTATGTCTTCTGTTTTTCAGTCTAATTCTTTGTCTTTTTGTATGTCTCTGTTTTTTTTTGTGTAGAAGCTTGAATGTCTGTCCGTGTGTCTGTCTGACTGCCTTCCTGTCTTTCTGTTTGATTCTCTGTCTGTCTGATTCACTGTCTGTCTGTTATTTTATCGGTCTTTCTAATATGTCTGTCAGTCTACCTATCAGTCTTTCTCTGTCTCTGTCACTATGGGCTCGATGCAATCCGTAGCACTGAAGATCCGCGTTATGGTGCGATTTAAATGTAAAGGTAATTTCCGATTGAGCAGACATATGCAGCGTTTACCGTGAATACAGTCTCTGAGAACACGGGAACATTAAATTAAACATTAAATTTCAATTGCGCTGTAGTGCGGGTCTTCAGCTCTACGGATTGAATCAAACCCTATGTCTATATGAGCCTGATCTCTCCCTCTCTGTCTGGTATCTCTCTATAGGAGCACCCTTCCAGTCTCTCCATGGAGGACCTGCTCAACGTGGCCAGAGACATAGCACAGGGATGCCAATACCTGGAGGAGAACCAGTTTATACACCGGTAGGCCTACTGTGGTAGAGAAACATACTGTACATGGATTTATGTGTGTGCACATACTGTATATTCAAACCCACACAATATGCAATGACAGACACATACACTCTTTCTCACACTAATTTCACCCACTTACTGTATACACACACACAGACACACAAACACACAAATCAAATCAAAATCAAATCAAATTATATTTGTCACATGCACCGAATACAACCTTACCGTGAAATGCTTACTGACGAGCCCTTAACCAACAATGCAGTTTTAAGAAAATAGAGTTAAGAAAATATATACATTACAAATAATAATAAATAGCAACAAAGACACATTCACACCCTCCCAAACAAAAACAGATGGGAACAAAACGGTTTGCCTGCTTCCCCCGGCAACCCCGGCAACCGCCTTGCTCGGTTTCCATGGCGTCCGTACCTGTGACAGAATTTTCCCTTTCACCCCAAACTTCCTGCAAGTCATCCAATGACAAACAAGCCCAATTAAAGCAAATTTACCCCAACATGGGCAGTCAACTATTATACCGCCTAATGGTGTCGCAGGAGTGTAGCTACAGACACACACACACATACACACACGCAGACGCTAGCACGCACACACACGAAGGAGCACTAGGAGCACTAGGCTACACACAGGAGCACTAGGCTACACACACTACACACACACACACCAGCCCGACTCCTTATTACAATTCACAGCCACCGTCATCATCCTTAAGGCCACTACGTGTGTGTGCGTGTCACTAGACTACATTGTCTTGAGGAAAACCTGCATTGACGACATGCTCTCTTGGAGCGCATTAAGTATCAACTGCAATATCTCGAAGAGTGTGTGTATGCTGCTTTGTCATACTACTCAAATTCTGCAGCCTTTTAAGTCTTATTACAATCCCATACCATATAAATGCATGGATATGCTAAACCTGGCTGTGAATAACATTGTTTTGTTTAATCCAAATTCAAACAGTTCAGATTAACCAATTGAATGTTCAGTTAATACTTAATGCTTTAATACATTAATCTGTTATTGCGATAATCGCACGCTCAATTGTTTAAAGGGTGGGAGTAGAAACCAACATGCACACAACACAGTGAGCTACAGTACACAATTCTCAAGGATATTTGTTTTGAGTTCTCTGTTTGCCCTTATTATACCATGGGGATAAGATACCCACGTGTATACACATACAGACGAGCGCACACACACACACACACACACACACACACATACACACACACACACACACACACACACACACACACACACACACACACAAACACACGCAGACAGACAGAAAAATACACTCACACACAAGCACACATACAGACAAGCGCACACATGCACAGATAGACAGACAGAAACACACACACACACACACACACACACACACACACACACACACAAACACACCCCTGTAAGGTTCTTCTTGTCTTGTCACTTTGCAGAGACATTGCGGCCCGGAACTGCCTGCTGACCACCAAAGGACCGGGGAGAGTGGCCAAGATCGGGGACTTTGGAATGGCCAGGGACATTTATAGGTACTGCCATCATAAAAACTCTTTAAACCCAGCTACTATAAAGGTATATGTGGACTGGGGTGGTCTGGCGGTCTGGGCCGTTGCCTCTGGAGCACATTTACGATATACCGCTACCAGCATGAGTTGGAGTCTGGCCTACTGCTATTTCAGCACCATCTCTCCTACGTTTCAACTCTGTCTATCTCTTTTCAAACGTGACAAAATACCGAAGTACTGGGACTGCCCCACTCCTATAAAAAATAAATATATTTAAGCAATAAGGCCCAACAATAAGGCCCAATAATGCTCAAGAAAGCACATATACAGTCCCGTCTGAAGTTTGCCAATGAACATCTGAATGATTTAGAGGAGAACTGGGTAAAAGTGTTGTGGTCAGATGAGACCAAAATGGAGCTCTTTGGCATCAACTCAACTCGCCGTGTTTGGAGGAGGAGGAATGCTGCCTATGACCCCAAGAACACACCATCCTCACCGTCAAACATGGAGGTCGAAACATTATGCTTTGGGGGTGTTTTTCTGCTAAGGGGACAGGACAACTTCACCACATTAAAGGGACGTTGGACGTGGCCATGAACCATCAAATCTTGGGTGAGAACCTCCTTCCCTCAGCCAGGGCATTGAAAATGGGTCGTGGATGGGTATTCCAGCATGACAATGACCCAAAACACACGGCCAAGGCAACAAAGGAGTGGCTCAAGAAGAAGCACATTAAGGTCCTGGAGTGGCCTAGCCAGTCTCCAGACCTTATTCCCATATAAAATCTGTGGAGGGAGCTGAAGGTTCGAGTTGCCAAACGTCAGCCTTGAAACCTTAATGACTTGGAGAAGATCTGCAAAGAGGAGTGGGACAAAATCCCTCCTGAGATGTGTACAAACCTGGAGGCCAACTACAAGAAACGTCTGACCTCTGTGATTGCCAACAAGGGTTTTGCCACCAAGTACTAAGTCATGTTTTGCAGAGAGGTCAAATACTTATTTCCCTCATTAAAATGCAAATCAATTCATAACATTTTTGACATGCGTTTTTCTGGATTTTGTTGTTGTTATTCTGTCTCTCACTGTTCAAATAAACCTACCATTAAAATTATAGACTGTTCATTTCTCTGTCAGTGGGCAAACGTACAAAATCAGCAGGGGATCAAATACTTTTTTCCCTCACTGTATATATATATATATATATATATATATATATATATATATATATATATATATATATATATATATATATATAACAAAAATCACAAGAAAATACAATATAAAATAATACAAAATAAAAGTAACAAATAATTAAAGAGCAGCAGTAAAAATAACAATAGCGAGGCTATATACAGGGGGTACCGGTACCGAGTCAATGTGCGGGGGCACCGGTTAGTCGAGGTAATTGGGGTAATATGTACTGGATGGCAGGAAGCTTGGCCCTAGTGATGTACTGGGCCGTACGCAATACCCTCTGTAGTGCCTTGCGGTCGGAGGCCGAGCAGTTGCCATACCAGGCAGTGATGCAACCAGTCAGGATGCTCTCGATGGTGCAGCTGTAGAACCTTTTGAGGATCTGAGGACCCATGCCAAATCTTTTAAGTCTCCTTAGGGGGAATAGGTTTTGTCGTGCCCTCTTCACGACTGTCTTGGTGTGCTTGTACCATGTTAGTTTGTTGGTGATGTGGACACCAAGGAACTTAGCTCTCAACCTGCTCCACTACAGCCCCGTCGATGAGAATGGGGCCGTGCTCTGTCCTCTTCTTTTTCCTGTAGTCCACAATCATCTCCTTTGTCTTGATCACGTTGAGGGAGAGGTTGTTGTCCTGGCACCACACGGCCAGGTCTCTGACCTCCCTATAGGCTGTCTCGTCATTGTCTGTGATCAGGCCTACCACTGTTGTGTCATCTGCAAACGTAATGATGCTGTTGGAGTCGTGCCTGGACATGCAGTCATGAGTGAACAGGGAGTATAGGAGGGGACTGAGCACGCACCCCTGAGGGGCCCCCGTGTTGAGGATCAGCGTGGCGGATGTGTTGTTACCTACCCCTTACCACCTGAGGGCGGCCCGTCAGGAAGTCCAAGTTCCAGTTGCAGAGGGAGGTGTTTAGTCCCAGGGTCCTTAGCTTAGTGATGAGCTTTGAGGGCATTATGGTGTTGAACGCTGAGCTGTAGTCAATGAATAGCATTCTCACATAGGTGTTCCTTTTGTCCAGGTGTGAAAGGGCAGTGTGGAGGGCAATAGAGATTGCATCATCTGTGGATCTGTTGTGGCGATATGTAAATTGGAGTGGGTCTTGAGTTTATGGGATAATGGTGTTGATGTGAGCCATGACCAGCCTTTCAAAGCACTTCATGGCTACAGACGTGAGTGCTACGGGTCGGTAGTCATTTAGGCAGGTTACCTTAGTGTTCTTTGACACAGGGATTATGGTGGTCTGTTTGAAACATGTTGGTATTAAGGACTCAGACAGGGAGAGGTTGAAAATGTCAGTGAAGACACTTACCAGTTGGTCAGTGCATGCTCGGAGTACACATCCTGGTAATCCGTCTGGCCCTGCGGCCTTGTGAATGTTGACCTGTTTAAAGGTCTTACTCACATCGGCTACGGAGAGCGTGATCACACAGTCATCCGGAACAGCTGATGCTCGCATGATTGTTTCAGTGTTACTTGCCTCGAAGCGAGCATAGAAGTAATTTAGCTCATCTGGTAGGCTCATGTCACTGGGCAGCTCGCGGCTGTGCTTCCCTTTGTAGTCTGTAATAGTTTGCAAGCCCTGCCACATCCGACGAGCGTCGGAGCCGGTGTAGTACGATTCGATCTTAGTCCTGAATTGACGCTTTGCCTGTTCGTCGGAGGGCATAGCAGCTTCCGGGTCAGAGTCCTGCTCCTTGAAAGCGGCAGCTCTACCCATTAGCTCAGTGTGGATGTTGCCTGTAATCCATGGCTTCTGGTTGGGGTATGTATGTACAGTCACTGTGGGGACGACATCATCAATGCACTTATTGATGAAGCCAGTGACTGATGTGGTGTACTCCTCAATGCCATCGGAATAATCCCGGAACATATTCCAGTCTGTGCTAGCAAAACAGTCCTGTAGCTTAGCATCTGCTTCATCTGACCACTTGTTTATTGACCGAGTCACTGGTGCTTCCTGCTTTCGTTTTTGCGTGTAAGCAGGAATCAGGAGGATAGAATTATGGTCAAATTTTCCAAATGTAGGGCGAGTTAGAGCTTTGTATGTGTCTCTGTGTGTGGAGTAAAGGTGGTCTAGAGTTTTCCTCTGGTTGCACATTTAACATGCTGGTTGAAATGAGGTAAAACAGATTTAAGTTTCCCTGCATTAAAGTTCCCGCCCACTAGGAGCGCCGCCTCTGGATGAGCCTTTTCCTGTTTGCTTATGCCCGATACAGTTCATTGAGTGCGGTCTTAGTGCCAGCATTGGTTTGTGGCATACATAGACTGCCACCCCTTGTCTTACCAGAGGCTGCTGTTCTATCCTGCCGATACAGTGTATAACCCGCCAGCTGTATGTTATTCATGTCATCGTTCAGCCACAATTCGGTGAAACATACGATATTACAGTTTTTAATGTCCCGTTGGTAGGATATTCATGCCTGTAGTTCGTTCATTTCATTATGAAGCGATTGTAAATTGGTCAATAGTATCAATGGCAAAGGCAGATTAGCCACTCATCGCCGGCTCCTTACCAAGATCCCCGATCTCCTTCCGTGATATCTCCTTTTCTTTCTACTGCGAATGACGGGGATGAGGGCCCTGTCGGGTGTCTGGAGCAAATCCCTCTCGTCCAACTCTTAAAATAAAAATTATTTGTCCAGTTCAAGGTGAGTAATCGCTTTTCTGATGTCCAGAAGCTCTTTTTGGTCATAAGAGACGGTAGCAGCAACATTATGTACAAAATAAGATAAAAACAGTGCGAATAAACACACAAAATAGCACGGTTGGTTAAGAGTCCATAAAACGGCAGCCATCCACTCTGGCGCCTTTACTCATCCAATGCAGCGCAATCCATAAAGCTTGTTGCATCATACCCAAGAATCGCTGCCAAAGGTGCTTCAACAAAGTACGGAGTAAAGGGTCTGAATACTGAATACTATAGTCTTTTATGATTAATAAAGGTGCAAAAATTTCTAACATCCTTTTTTTTAGTTGTCATTATGGGGTATTGTGTGTAGATTGATGAGAGAAAAAACAATTTAATCAATTTTAGAATAAGGCTGTAACGTAACAAAATGTGGAAAAAGTCACAAGGTTTGAATACTTTTAGAATGTACTGTATAAAGATTAGCTGGTTATCCACTAACACGTGGGCTTGTGCTTGAGAGATTGTTTATGAGACCTGTGTTAATTTTCTATAACGCCTGCTACAAGAAATTGGTCATTAGGTGTCACGCCCTGGCTCGGGGGACTCTTAAATGTTGAGCCAGGGTGTGGAGTTTCTGTTACATTTTCTATGCTTTCGTTCTAGATCGTTTATATCTATGTTGGCCAGGGTGGTTCCCAATCAGAGACAGCTGTAGCTCGTTGTCTCTGATTGGGGACAATACTTAGGCAGCCTTTTGGCATGTTCGTTTTGTGGGATCTTGTTCCCTAAGGTTTTGTGTATAACCTAGGACTTCACGTATCGTTTGGTTTATTGTTTTGGTTCGTGTGTGTACTCAATAAAGAATGTACGCTTATCACGCTGCGCCTTGGTCCGCTTCAGTCAATGATCGTGACATTAGGGCCCTGTGTAGCTCAGTTGGTAGAGCATGGCGCTTGCAACGCCAGGGTTGTGGGTTCGATTCCCACGGGGGGCCAGTATGAAAATGTATGCACTCACCAACTGTAAGTCGCTCTGGATAAGATCGTCTACTAAATGACTAAAATGTAAAAATGTAATTATTAGTGGATGTGCATTGTGTATGGTTCTGGAAAAATGCGTTACAAAATTGCATTTTCATAGACAGACTTGAAAGCCAGATCAGTGATTTTCGCAAAAAAATCAGATTATACTATTTGGATTAAATAATGTAATTATTAGTGGGTCTTACGGTGGTGAAAGGCTTATAATTAGCCTAGGTATAATTTTGAATTGTAATTTTGAATAAATGAAATTTTCCTGACTGTTTGAAATTCAGTGTATTGACCATTAATCGTCCAACAAAGCTTATTTAGAGAAAACAAGATATATTGTGAATCGCCCATAAGTTTAAAAAAATGTAAATACAATTTTTTGGCCATATTTCCCAGCACTAATACCTCTGGATCCTCATGATTCTCCCCCTCTGCAAAGACCAATGCTTCCGACTTTTCCACGGCGTACGGTCCAGCCAAGTTTAATAGAGTGTATGATTTAACTTTCTTTGTCTTGTCTGATAGACGTTGGAGTATATTCGCCATTCCTTCTCAAACTTTTTCCAGTTGTCCGCAATGTTTTCGTTGAAAACCAGTACGTCAATGCAGCGCAATCCCTGTGCCATTTCACCACTTCTGACACCATGTGATGCGTGGGCGAAATAAGGGAGTCTGACAACATTACTGCCAGTGTAAATGTCCATAGTTTACTTCACCATTAGCCTTTCATACATGGTACATCGTGTCACACTTAATGATGTCCCCATACACTCCACTTATAGTGTCCTAATTTAGTTCCAGTGTAACCCACCCATCTACAACAACCCAAAACTGGCTGCATGTCTGGCTGGTATGGGGTTTACCCTTTGTGGAATAACCCCTTTGTCAGGATTATGACAACAAATATGTCAACTCTGTCCGGATCATGGGACAGCTGAAATCGCCACTGACTCACCATATCACAAAATACCATAAATCCAAGTTGCCTGACATAACAAGATCACCAAAGTACCACATCTATACTACAGTATATAAAAACTATAAACATCAACACATGCTTCTTTCTTTCAACAGACCTCCCACACTTGGTAGTTTTTTTTAACAACTCCCGTCGCACAGTCCATCATGTAGTTTTTATGAGGCGAATCGCAGGGGGGAGTGAATCGACCGCGCTTTAAAGTGACGGGAGTCTGTGATTGACCCTAAAAACCAACTAATCCCTTTGAAAACGGCCTATGTGGCATCAACGTTTATTCTAGTGTCAAAATTGACTACAAAGTATAAATAGGATAATTCTGGTCATAAATAATAATAATAATAATATGCCATTTAGCAGACGCTTTTATCCAAAGCGACTTACAGTCATGCGTGCATACATTTTTGTGTATGGGTGGTCCCGGGGATCGAACCCACTACCTTGGCGTTACAAGCGCCGTGCTCTACCAGCTGAGCTACAGAGGACCACAAAGTTAGTCTTGTCTAAAACAGAGTTCGTAACCTCAGTGCGTCACAACAAGTAAATGAAGGTTAGGTTTGGATAACAATTATGTCAACAAATTATGCCCCCTTTTGCCAAGCTCCACGTGCAAATCGCCCCTCTGCCCACTGTGCTTTGCTTTCAAAGGATCACAGACGACAATGCAATGCATGCTGGCATGAGACAAAAGAGTGTGAAGCAGTGGGGAAAGTGGTTGTATGTGCTAATTGTAGGGGTGGCCATGGGGCTGGGGATCAGATATGTCCAGTGCGAGAGAAGCAGGTTGAGGTTTCCAGGGTAAGAGTAGAGAAGAAATTGTCATATGTGGAGGCAGTGAAGAAAGTAGAGGAAGATGGGTCAAGGGGGGAGGGGGGGAGTGGTGAGAGTATGAGATACGTACCAGTACAATGGGATAGGCAAGCAAGTGATATATGTTTCAGGAAGATTGGATTTTTAGCGTTTATAGCAATTGTTATTAATTGTACTGCAGGGATGGAACATAAGTCGAAGAAAATTGAGGTTGTGGTGGCAGCTGCAGAGAGATATTTGGGTGGACGAGACCTGACAGCAGAAGAGTTACAGGGAGTGTTAAGTGATGATGTCCCATCATTTCAGGTTGAGGGCATGAGGTAGGAGTGAGTATATTTAAATAGTGGAGAAGGGTGGGGTTAATTGTTAGTAATAGTTTTGAATTTGTGAGTGTAGTGTTAGATGGTAGGGTATTTCTTTGCTTTGTTTTATTTTATTTTTCAAGGAAAAGATAAGGGAGTTGTACTCCAGTCTAGTTCTTGGTGGTAATGCCACAAATTGGATGCGAAACCCAACTTTACATTTCTGTGTCACCAGAGGATTTTAGCCCCATGGATAAATTATTAGACTGTATTAGTGATTTTCTATGGCTCACAACTTCCTCCAGCTAAATCAAGACAAGACCGAGGTACTTATTGATAGAGCCAAAGCACAGAGATAGAATCTAGCCGCACATTTTAATTCACGGGCAATAAAGATAAAACACCAGGTAAAAAACCTAGGTGTTATTATAGATTCTGAACTCAATTTATAATCACACATTAGGAATGTGATCAAAAATAGATTTTTACCACCTGCGAAACAAGGTGCAGCCGTTTCTCTCTCAGGCTGATACAGAGAGACTCATCCATGCTTTTATTACAAGCAAGCTTGACTACTGTAATGCTCTCCTGTCTTGTCTACCCAAGAAAGCCATTGGTCAACTGCAAAACATACAGTATGCTGCAGCACGGGTACTGACCAAGACCAGACGGAGAGCACATATTACACGTTTTAAGGTCTCTGCACTGGCTGCCTGTGAGTTTATGAATTAATTTTAAGATTCTTCTATTGGTTTTTAAATCAATCCATGATTGTGCGACCTAATACATGTGAAACATGCTTTAAAGTTATGTACCCAGTAGGTCCCTCAGGTCCTCTGGTACTGGCCTTTTAACTATCCCAAAGCCTAGGACCAAGAGGCATGGCGAGGCAGCCTTTAGTTACTATGCCTTCAGCCTCTGGAATAGCCTGCCAGAGAACCTGAGGGGGGCTGAAACTGTGGACATTTTTAAAAGAGATCTTAAAACACACCTTTTTAGCTTTGCTTTTCCTTAGGGAGATTTTGTCGTTCAGTTTTTATTGTTAGTCTTTAGTTTTTTATCCTGTTATGTTTGTTGTGTAGTAAATATTTCAGTTATTTTATTAGTTTTTTTCCTGTGAACACATTGCGTTGCATTCAATGTCTGAAATGTGCCGTACAAATAAAGCTTGATTTGATTTGATCCAACACAATCATGAAGTTTGCTGACGACGGTGGTAGGCCTGATCAACGGCGATGATGAGACAGCCTACAGGAGGAGGTCAGTGACCTGGCAGTGTGGTGCCGGGACAACAACCTCTCCCTCAACGTCAGTACGACCAAGGAGCTGATCGTGGACTACAGGGCTGCAGTGGAGCGGGTTGAGAGCTTCACGTTCCTCGGTGTCCAACTCACTAAGGCCTTAAAATGGTCCACTCACACGCTCATAGTTGTGAAGAAGGATCAACAGCGCCTCTTCCCCCTCAGGAGATTGAAAAGGTTTGTAATGGGCCATCAATCCCTCAAAAAGTTATACAAGGACACACCCAAGAAACACCCACATCAAACCACGTCCCCATGCCAACTCATGTTTAGCTTCTGTCATGGCCGCCAGAATTTCTAGAGGAGCAAACAAAAAAACAATGCCAAATCAGAGGGTGCAGTTCCCCTTTAACTTTTATCTTCTCAGTGTGTGTTTAGGACCGGCGAAGATTAAACGGGCTGAGGCTGTTATCAGCGGGTAATCTGATAGCGGCGTCGCGTATCAGATAACAACCTCACAGCGGGAGCTTGATACAGTTTAAAACACAACTCGGCTCGGTCTGTGAAAAAATAAAAAGAATCCCCCTTTTTTCTTGAAGATAAGGAGGACTGAGGACTTTCGTGGGCGTTTACGCGCTCTGTTACAGTTATTGTAATTGTGGATCAGCACGGCGCGATATCACTGTGTCAAAGGAGGATCTAATTATTAGAGCTGATGGTGTGCTGTTTCCATGGCAACGCTGGTGTGACTGAACTTTGGCCCTGCCCTTCTCTCTCTTTTCATCCCTTTATCTTCCTGTTGTGCAGATCACCTGTATGTGTGTCTGTGTCTCCCCACAGGGCCAGCTACTACAGAAAGGGTGGGCGCGCCATGCTACCTGTGAAGTGGATGCCCCCCGAAGCCTTCATGGAGGGGATCTTCACATCCAAAACGGACACGTGGTACGTTCCATTGTAACGCACTCCCAATAACATCTTAGTTCTCATGAATGTCACCCCCTTTCATTTCACCCCTCCAGTCTACCTCACTTCCCTCTCTCTGTCCTTTAATGGAGAATATCATCTTTCACCTTTTGAAAGCCTCTCTCCCTCCTCCCTCTCTCCTTCACCCCTCACTTTGCCCTTATCACCTTTATGATTTATGATTCTCTCTCTCCCCCCACCTCTCACTATCTTCTTCCTCCTACCTCTCTCTCCCCCTCTGTCTCAGGTCCTTTGGAGTGCTGCTATGGGAGATATTCTCTTTGGGCTATATGCCCTATCCTAGTCGCAGTAACCAGGAAGTGTTGGAGTTTGTCACCAGTGGGGGAAGGATGGACCCTCCCAAAAACTGCCCAGGGCCTGTGTAAGTCCAATATAACCCCAAAACAATCACACTTCACCCAAACACATGTAGCAGATGTGTGCTAGCAGGCTAGTGAAGATTGAAAAGTGAACTGTCGCTCAGTCATCTTCCGCCCCTGTCTGTGTCCCTGTATTACACAGGGATACAAGCGTACACACTCACACACAAAACACACCCATAACTTCTCAGACTATCTCGTGCTTGCCCACCTTTTCTTTTTTGATAGTTCTTTCACAGAAAGATAGACACAGTCCCCATGTAGTACGATTCATCTTCGTCACGACTAGCTCGCAACAGGCCCGTCACATTACCACAGCATATTACACAAGAGTAATGAATCCAAGTCAAATCAGCCCTAATAAAAATAAATAGCTTGATTCGATGTCTCAGTGGGGTACCCCAGGGTTCAGTTTAACCCCCACTGACTTTCCAACGGTAATCACTCGAACTAGCGGGATGTTACACTTCATTGACAACATTGTGTGTGAGTTTGCGTCTGTCAAGTGACGGCACTAGGTCTGGGTAGGATGTCGGCTTCTCTTGGACATTTCAAAAGGACTCTTCAGACAGACAACTCTCCAGACAAATCACAAGTTTGGGTAGGCGGGGCTTAAAATGCAGGCGGGAATTGTGCTCATGTTTAGCTAGGGTAGCAAGCGGCTATGGCAGTGATGTTACCAGTGACACTTCCCATTTCCGACTCGTCCTGTCTGTCCCAACTGACGCCGCAACTTGTACAGATGTTTTAGCTGGAGCATTGATACATTGCCAGAAGCAAACTGTCTGTCTAGAGAGACTAGTCAATGTGTGCGAAGTTCAAATAGAGGAAAAGTTTTTGATTGTGCTTTTGTGTGTGTGTGTGTTTCAGGTACCGGATAATGACACAGAGTTGGCAGCATCAACCTGAGGACAGGCCCAACTTCTCCACCATTTTGGAAAGGATTGACTACTGCTTACAGGTAGGGAGCGTAAACATCGAGAGTCAACACCTCTGCACCGGAACTGTATTAATGTGTCTGTCTAACTGCCAAGAGATTATTTTTATATGTTTGACTATTTTAAAAAGTTATACAGCTCATAACCTGTATTCCTTTTGGAATAGCTTCTAAGGTTGATTGAATTAGAAGTACAATTCAGAACTATGTTATTTTCTACAAATTCAGACATTGGTAATGTTAATGTCATAGCTTGTTGTTCACCATTGTTAGTGTCTAATGCTAGTACCATTGCTCCTCTATCCTCTCCAGGACCCTGATGTGGTGACTGTTCCCTTGCCTGTGGAATATGGCCCCCTCCCTGAAGAGGAGGAGCGGGTACCCATGCCCCCTGAGGACCTCACGGCCTCCCCCCTGCTGGTGTCCACTCTGACGCCTGACGGGGAGGGGCCCGCACCGACACCGTCAGCCCCCCAGCCTACCGAGGAGAACCGAAGAGTTCAACAGCCCCTCCTCCTTTCCAGCCAGCCCCCCGAAACTGGCAAGCCCGAGGCGGTGGCTCAACAACTCCACCCCCACCCCCAGACATTCACCATGACCGCCACCTCCAAGGCGCCTCTCCCCATCTCCACCCAGCAGCCCAACCCAGAGGGGGGCCACGTCAATCTGGCCTTCACCCAGGGCCACCCTGGGGATAAGGAGGGTCGCAATGGGAAACCCACCAACCTGTGGAACCCCACCTACGGCTCCTGGTTCCTCCAGCAGCAGCAGCAGAAGAAGCAGCAGCAACAACAGCAGCAGCAACAACAGCAGCAGCAGCAAAAGCAGGAAAGAGTGGGCAGTGGAGGTGGGGGAGTTGGAGGTGGGAGGGTTACAGGCGAGGGGCAGGAGCACCAGGGGCGGACTGTGGCCGAGGCGGTGGGGGCCCTGGGTCTCCAGCACCAGCAGCACAAGCAGCAGCAGTTCCAGCCACCGTATCCCTTCCATCCACAGCAGCAACAGCATCAACAACAGCAGATGCAGCTCCAGCAGATGCATCTCTTACATCACCAACAGCAGCCTCAGCAACAGCAGGGGCTCTGCAGGCCGCTTTTGCCACCTCCGCCCCCAGCCCAGGCCACCTCCTTGGGTACCATTGCCCCTACCCCTTCCCCGCTCCTGTTAGATTCGGCCACCCTTCCCCCGGTCCCCCTATTCAGACTTCGCAGATTCCCCTGCGGGAACATCGGCTATGGCTACCAGGAACAAGGGTTGCCCCTGGAGGTGACCCACCACCACCCCAATCCTGTCTCTGTCAACCCCACTCCTCCACCGCCCCCTACCCCGCCGCCCGTGGCCTCCCAGAGAGAAGTGGCGGGGACCCAGCTGTCGCTGAGCCACTCGACAACGGCCAAAGCCGAGGACAGCCTCCCTCTGCTGGTCACCATGGGGACGGTGCAGGACCCCAGGCTACCCCGGATGGAGGGCCACAATGCCACAGTGCTTTAGCCCCGCCAACCCCCAACCTTGCTTTTTGGCTTCCACCTCGGAGACCGTGTGTACAGACAGATAGGCGTACAGCCAGACTTGATACACCGTGCAACACTGTGTCAGGACACCTTATGACCAGCCCTCCCATCTCGACACCTTGGTTTCATCCACCGATTGGCTCGACCCATTGCATTGAGTCCAAAATGTTTTATCCCAATGAGATAAAATGGCTGTGGAAATACCAATGGGGTGTTAAAGCACATTGGAGAGCTGCAAAAGACCATTAGGAAGAAAAGGTTGTGGACCGTTGGCTAGAAAAACAGGAACGATGTACATTTTGCAGCACTGGCTAAAGTTTAGTAGGCCATTGTAGCAGGACAGGGTTAGACGTTTCCATCCGGTTGAACTAGCTAATTTCTTCGTAATGTATTCACGAGCCAACCGCTCATCTTCGCGGCTCTGTAGATGTCAACGCAGCCTTTCATACGGAGTCATGCTTGAAACACACACACAGAACATACAAACACGTAACTGAGAACCATACACATCTGCCAGATGTCTAACTGACTGTAACATTAGCTAACTACTTCTTTGGCTGTCAATCATCGCTGGTGATCCATTTCATTGGCAATTCTTCTTCAATTTCCTTCGGGACTTCAGGCCTTGGCAGTTGATTCACCAATCGGAAACAACTTTTCCCAAAATATCGTGAGAGTCGGACACTGGATTCCAGAGTTTTTTTTTTTTTTTTTTTTACGATGAAGAAAAAAATGTGTTGATGTTTGCTTGCCCACTTGTTTATTTATTCATTTGTTTATTTATTAATTGGGAGCTCTGTAAATTATTCACGGACACACTTCTTACACCCAACCTTATCCAAATTAATTTGACACACTGTACATTGTTTAGCTATTTGGCTTTTTATTGCAGGAACTTTTGTCCAACGTCGACTTAAATGAATTAAAAGAATCCCTGACCAATGCACTGAATGGTATTTCAGATAGTTGGAAACTGGATGTACTCATGGAGGTGAAGGTTGCTATGGTATGTGGGTGGAAGTGAAAGGGAATTGTTGGGGGGGGATCATGGTGCCATGAGTATGTGGGTGGCTGTCTTTGCACGTTAAGGTGTGTGAGTAGGTGTGTTTGAGTGAGAGGGGGAGGGAAAGAAAGACAGACACATTTTTTTGGAGCTTACTGTATACTATGGAGCTTACTGTATACTGATATTAACCGTTTATTCAAGCAAGTTCACCTTCCATTTCTTGTTGAAGATTTTTTATATGTATATATTATGGCCCTCTATGGAAAGACATAAATTACTGTTCCATTAACTCTCGCATAGAGTGGGGAGAACAAGTATTTGATACACTGCCGATTTCGCAGGTTTCCTACTTACAAAGCATGTAGAGGTCTGTACATTTTATCATAGGTACACTTCAACTGTGAGAGACGGAATCTAAAACAAAAATCCAGAAAATCACATTGTATGATTTTTAAGTAATTAATTTACATTTTATTGCATGACATAAGTATTTGATACATCAGAAAAGCAGAACTTTTTATTTGGTTCAGAAACCTTTGTTTGCAATTACAGAGATCATACATTTCCTGTAGGTCTTGACCAGGTTTGCACACACTGCAGCAGGGATTTTGGCCCACTTCTCCATACAGATCTTCTGCAGATCCTTCAGGTTTCGGGGCTGTCGCTGGGCAATACGGACTTTCAGCTCCCTCCAAAGATTTTCTATTGGGTTCAGGTCTGGAGACTGGCTAGGCCACTCCAGGACCTTGAGGTGGTTCTTACGGAGCCACTCCTTAGTTGCCCTGGCTGTGTGTTTCGGGTCGTTGTCATGCTGGAAGACCCAGCCATGACCCATCTTCAATGCTCTTACTGAGGGAAGGAGGTTGTTGACCAAGATCTCGCGATACATGGCCCCATCCATCCTCCCCTCAATACGGTGCAGTCGTCCTGTCCCCTTTGCAGAAAAGCATCCCCAAAGAATGATGTTTCCACCTCCAGAATTATGTTTCGGCGAGTGGAGTTTAGACCAAAAAGCTCTATTCTTGTCTCATCAGACCACATGACCTTCTCCCATTCCTCCTCTGGATCATCCAGATGGTCATTGGCAAACTTCAGACGGGCCTGGTCATGCGCTGGCTTGAGCAGGGGGACCTTGCGTGCGCTGCAGGATTTTAATCCATGACGGCGTAGTGTGTTACTAATGGTTTTCTTTGAGACTGTGGTCCCAGCTCTCTTCAGGTCATTGACCAGGTCCTGCCGTGTAGTTCTGGGCTGATCTCTATCCTTCCTCATGATCATTGATGCCCCACGAGGTGAGATCTTGCATGGAGCCCCAGACCGAGGGTGATTGACCGTCATCTTGAACTTCTTCCATTTTCTAATAATTGCGCCAACAGTTGTTGCCTTCTCACCAAGCTGCTTGCCTATTGTCCTGTAGCCCATCCCAGCCTTGTGCAGGTCTACAATTTTATCCCTGATGTCCTTACACAGCTCTCTGGTCTTGGCCATTGTGGAGAGTTTGGAGTCTGTTTGATTGAGTGTGTGGACAGGTGTCTTTTATACAGGTAACAAGTTCAAACAGGTGCAGTTAATACAGGTAATGAGTGTTGAACAGGAGGGCTTCTTAAAGAAAAACTAACAGGTCTGTGAGAGCCGGAATTCTTACTGGTTGGTAGGTGATCAAATACTTATGTCATGCAATAAAATGCAAATTAATTACTTAAAAATCATACAATGTGTTTTTCTGGATTTTTGTTTTAGATTTCGTCTCTCACAGTTGAAGTGTACCTATGATAAAAATTACAGACCTCTACATGCTTTGTAAGTAGGAAAACCTGCAAAATCGGTAGTGTATCAAATACTTGTTCTCCCCACTGTATGTGGAGATTAATTTAATTGAAAGTGTGCTTTTAAATTAAGACATTTTCATTTTTGCTGTGGGGCTTTTTTCAACAACCTTTTCTTGATTCATGACCTGTACAAATGTATAAAAAAACAAAATTGTTGCCTTACCCAGCAGCAACTACACTATATATACAAAAGTATGTGGACACCCTTTCAAATAAGTTGATTTGGCTATTTCAGCCACACCCGTTGCTGACAGGTGTACAAAATCGAGCACACAGCCATCTACATAAACATTGGCAGTAGAATGGCCTTGCTAAAGAGCTCAATGACTTTCAACGTGGCACCGTCATAGGATGCCACCTTTCCAACAAGTCAGTTTGTCAAATTTCTGTCCTGCTAGAGCTGCCCCGGTCAACTGTAAGTGCTGTTATTGTGAAGTGGAAACGTCTAGGAGCAACAATGGCTCAGCTGTGAAGTGGTATGCCACACAGTCTCACAGAACGGGACCGCAGAGTGCTGAAGCGCGTAGCGCGTGAAAATCGTCTGTCCTCGGTTGCAACACTCAATACCGAGTTCGAAACAGCCTCTGGAAGCAATGTCAGCATAAGAACTGTTTGTCGGGAGCACACAAGCCGAAGATCATCATGCGCAATGCCAAGCTCGTCGCAATTGGACTCTGGAGCAGTGGAGTGATGAATCACGCTTCACCATCTGGCAGCCCGACGGAGGAATCTGGGTTTGGCGGATGCCAGGAGAACGCTACCTGCCCGAATGCATAGTGCAAACTGTAAAGTTTGGTGGAGGAGGAATAATGGCCTGGGGCTGTTTTTCTGGTTCGTGCTAGGCCCCCTAGTTCCAGTGAAGGGAAATCTTAACGCTTCAGCATTAAGTGTATGTACTTCTGTCCTTGAGCTGTTCTTGTCTATTAATGTTCTCTAATATGTCATGTTTCATGTTTTGAGTGGACCCTAGGAAGAGTAGCTGCTGCTTTTGAAACAGCTAATGGGGATCCTAATAAAATACCCAAACAAATACAATGACATTCTAGATTATTCTGTGCTTCCAACTTTGTGTCAACAGTTTGGGGAAGGCCCTTTCCTGTTTAAGCATGACAATGCCCCCATGCACAAAGCGAGGTCCATACAGAAATGGTTTGGCGAGATCAGTGTGGAAGAACTTGACTGGCCTGCACAGAGCCCTGACCTCAACCCCATCGAACACCTTTGGGATGAATTGGAACGCCGACTGCAAGCCAGGGGTATTCGCCCAACATCATTGCCTGACCTCACTAATGCTCTTGTGGCTGAATGGAAGCAAGTCCCCGCAGCAATGTTCCAACATCTAGTGGAAAGCCTTCCCAGATGAGTGGAGGCTGTTATAGCAGCAAAAGGGGGGACCAACTCCATATTAATGCCAATCATTTTGGAATGAGATGTTCGACGGGCAGGTGTCCACATACTTTTGGTCATGTAGTGTATATTGGACAATGTTGAATAGGTCTTTACCCTCAAAATGTTATTTTAAAGAACTTAATGTTCATCAATGTGCAAAATTGTTCTATTTGAAGAAAGAGTGTTATAGAGTATAAAGTATTCTGAGTGAAAAGTTTGAACACAAATTGCTTGTGGTCCACTTGTGAATGACTCTTACTCCTTCTTACTCCCTTGGTCATCAACCATGTAGACATTTACATTCAATGTGCATAGTGTCAACACTGTCAATGCAATCTGCTTTTATACATTCAAAGAGAAAAGGATGTTGGTTTATGTGATCATTACTTAATTATAATGTGCAAGTCGAATCAACCTTCATGTACGCACGTCTCAAATGGATACATGAAGATGAATGCTAGCCTATGCTAAGCTAAGAGGAAGTTGATTTGAGTTTATCCAAGAAGTGCCAATGTGTCAGTTTGCCTGTCTGCTTGACTATGTTGTGTAAACCCTTTGCTTGTACGCTCTTTCATAAAGCCTTACAAGCTGTTATAAACAAGTAGTGAAGACATTTGATATAATGCGACTTATACTGGCTGTATTTCTGGCCAACGTGAACGGCAAGATCGCAAAATACACATGAAAACATGAAATGACACCAAGAATCTATAGAATATCGCTCAAAGATGCCCAAAAAACGATATAGCATTCAAA